GACTCATTCCCATGTATGTATATGACCCACCAGAGCTATATCTCTGTGAGAATTTAACACTTTACTAATGTCAAGGGCTGATTTGCTACCATATTATGACTTGAGGGGCTGATTTACATCTGTTTTCAGTTGAGGGGCTGATTTGCCACTATTCAATGAGTACAAGGGCTGATTTGCCGTTTTTGCCTGGAAAAAACAACTGGGAACTATTAATCTTGTCATGTCCAAAAATTCATTTGTAGAGAAAAATATGCATGTGGAAAGGGGAAGGACTGCATTGGCCGTGACATGCGCATAAAAAAGCATCCTGAAATAGAAGAAGAGCTGGATTCACACCGAAGATCAAGGACCAGCTTTCAAGTCACGCAGTAGAGGGGGCAAAAACCTACTTTTAGTCCCTTACCTTATTAAGTTTGAAGGTTTTAACCCTTTCTCTTATACTATGATACTTTTAGCCCCTCACCTTATTAGGTTTGTAAGTTTTACCCCCTCACGTATTAAAATCGAAGAAAATAGTCATCACTTTATACTGACTGTTAACTTTGTTAGCTAAAAATAGACTTTTATCAATTAACAGTCAACTAATAACCAATTAATAGAATTAACAAAATATTATAAAGTTAGTTCTATTAACTCTGTTAGCTGAAAGAAAATTTTTGACAGTTAACAGTTAATAGTCAACTAACATTTAGTGAACAGAATTAACAGTCAACTAATAAAACTAAGAAAATATTATAAAGTAAGGGCTATTTTCTTCAATTTTAATAGGTGAGGGGCTAAAAGTGTTATAGTATAAGGTGATGGGTTAAAACCTACAAATTTAATAAGGTGAGGGGTTAAAACCTACAAATCTAATAAGATGAGGGGCTAAAAATGTCATATTATAAGGTGAGAGGCTAAAACCTTTAAACTTGACAAGGTGAGAGGTTAAAAATAGGCTTTTGCAGCAGAGTGGTAACAAAAGTTTACAAATTTACACTATAAAAACGACTATTTGGGGGCAATAATTTTGTCGAGAACAACGAGGATTGGGTCCTGTCCTATCCCCAACCCCAAATGTACGTTTTAGTTGTGATCTTTTGAAAAGAAGCCAATGCACCTTCTTCTATATATACTAGAGATTAGTGTAGGTTTCTTCACAGCTAGCTTTTAGCTTTTGTAACACATTGCTAGCTAAGAGAAGCATTTAATCTACTAATGATGGCTCCCAGACTCAAAACAAATTTCCTCATTGCCATGTTAATGATTTTAGGGTGTTTGGCATTGCAAACAACCTCTCGCATATTGCTTGAAGCTGACATTGCTAAGAAACACCAGTCCTGGATGTCTTAGTATGGCCGCTTTTATCCAAATAGTGTTGAGAAGGAGCAATGAACAAAGATTTTCAAGGACAACTTGGAGTTTATTGAGAAATTCAACAGTGAAGGAAACCGTACCTGCAAGCTTAATCTCAATAAATTTTCGGACTTAACTAATGAAGAATTCAAGGCCTTATACACTGGATACAAAATCCCCCCCCCCCAACTCACACTCATCTAAAACCACAGTATTTAGGCATGAAAACATCATTGACATTCCATCAAGCAAGGATTGGACTAAGGAAGGAGCTGTTAACAGCATCAAGGACCAAGGTCAATGTGGTAAGAATCTAAACTAAATAATGAATTCTGTATCTTGCTTTTTACATCAACATTTATTAACCAAAATTCTACAATTGATGTAGGATGTTGTTGGGCATTTCCAGCTGTGGCAATTGTAGAAGGGATCACAAAGATAAATGGTGGTCAACTTCCCTCTCTGTCAGAGCAACAGCTGGTTGACTGTGTTGAAGACAGCAATGGCTGTAGTGGCGATTCATGTTGGATATAAATGGAATTATGAGGATTTTACAGTTGAAGAGAGCAAGGTTTGGAAACAATATTTCTCTGAATTGACTTGACTTTCCTTAATTGAAAATGAGAACTTACATAATTATTTATAGGTAAATCATGAACATTGGTTCTTCCCCCCAAATTAACTGGTATACATGAATCCCATTCTTCTAGATACATTATTCAAGATTATTCCTACCAAATACATGAATTGAGTATTAAAGGCATGTTTATCCTTTCAACACCCCCCTTAAACATGACTTCTACCAACTCCAAGACAGCTTCTTAATTGGTTAAAATCATCGAACTTGAGAGCCTTAGTAAGAATGTCTGCCATCTAATCATGAGATTTCACAAAAGTTAGCTGCACCACTTTGTCTTCAACACATTGGTGCACATAATGATACTTGGTATCAATATGTTTGCTTCGTTCATGAAATTGTAGATTTATTTTCAACATATATTTCTGTTGGACCCTTTTGTGTGACATGAAGCTCCTTCAGCAAATTCCTCAACCAAACTACATGAGTTACACAAGAATTAAGAGCAGCATACTCTGCTTCACAAGTTAACAGAGTAACAATGGGCTGCTTTTTCGAGCTCCAAGTACAAGCTGTATCACCCGTGTAAAACACATATCCTATGGTGCTCCTTTGATCATCAATATCTCCAACCCAATCACTGTCATTGAAACCTCTAAGAGTAAAGTCATTAAAGGCAAAATAATTCAACCCGAAATCAATGGTACCTTTAATATAGCGAAGGATCCTCTTTGCTACTTTTCGATGGACTGTTGTAGGAGCCTCCAAATATCAACTAACTAGTCCAACTCCAAACAAAACATCAGGTCTTGTGCAAGTCAAATATCTCAAGCTTCCAACTAAACTTCGAAAAATAGTTGCATCCACACTTCCACCTTCTTCAAAGATGGATAGCTTGATGCCACAAGCAACCGGAGTATTTACCGATTTACAATTGCTCATGTTGAACTTTTTAAGCACCTCCCTTCCATAATTTTCTTGTGGAATGAAGATGCCTTCCTCCATCTGTTTCACTTTTATGCCAAGATTATAGGACATGAGTCCTATATATGTCATTTCAAATTCATTGCTCATTGTTCTTTTGAATTCTTTAAACATCTTCAGATTATTGCCTGTAAAGATTAGATCATCTACATACAGGCAAACAATTAAAATTCCACCATTGCTCACCTTTATGTAAAGGGCATGTTTGTAAGGGCACTTGACAAAATCATTCTCCTAAAAGTATTTCTCAATTCTACAATTCCAAGCTCTCGGAGCTTGTTTCAAGCCATAGAGAGCTTTCTTCAGTTTAAGCACCTTCTTTTCCTCACCCTTTACAACATAGCCAAGAGGTTGTTGAACATACACCTTTTCTTTAAGATAGCCATTTAGCAAGGCTGACTTGATATCCATATGGAAAATCTTCCACTTGTTTTGAGCTGCTAGAGAGATTATTAGCCTTATCATCTCTAGATGAGCTATCGGTGCAAAAACTTCTTCATAATCAATGCCACGTTGCTGCTTGTAGCCTTTAGCCATGAGCCTACCTTTATATGTTTCCACTTCTCCTTTGGAATTCTTCTTCTCTTTGAACACCCGTTTTAACTTTGATAGTAGCATGTCCTTGAGGAAGATTGACTAGCTCCCAAGTATCATTCTTTTTTATTTCATTCATCTCCTCGTCCATAGCTCTTCTCCACTTTGTGTCTTTGGTAGCCTTATTGAAGTGAATAGGCTTACTATCTGCAAAGAGACATAATAGTGTAACAGCATTAGTTCCTTCAATTTCTTCAGTTTCTCGATATATATCACTACGCCTCCTTGTTTGCAAAGGCCCTTCCCTTGAGCTTCCTTCTAGAGATGCGTTTTCACCACAAGTTGGTGATGCTGGGGGAGTAATGATTTTTTGCCTTTCATCTTCATCATCTTCATCTTCAAAAGATGGAAGAAATCCATAATTCTCTTCATGAGATTTCTAATCCCACATGGGTTCTTCATCAAAATCCACATTTCTACTGATCATTGCTTTGTTGCCATTTGGATCGTAAAGCCTGTACCCTTTTGTTCTAGAATCATAACCAACAAACACATATTTCTTGCACTTGTCATCAAGCTTGGTGCGTTTTTCATCATGAATATGGGCAAATGCAATGCTTCCAAAGACCTTCAAGTGATGGACTGAGGGCTTTCTTCCACTCCATAATTCAATTAAAGTTTTATTATCAATTGCTTTTGTTGTGCAACAGTTAAGCAAGTAGACTGCACACTTAACAGCTTCAGCCCAGAACTCTCTCAGCATCTTCTTGGTCTTCATCATGCCTCTTGCCATATTTAGAATAGTTCTGCTTTTTCTTTCCACCACTTCGTTCTGTTGTGGCGATCCTAGAGCAATAAGAAAATGGCAAACTCCATTGGCAGCACAAAACTCCTAAAATTCTTTCGACGTGAATTCACCTCCCTTGTCTAATCTCAACGCTTGGATTTTAAAGCCACTTCCTTCTCCACAACTGCTTTAAAATTCTGAAAACACTTGAACACTTCCGATTTTCTTTAAGAAAATATACACATGTTTTTCTACTATAATCATCAATGAACAAAAGAAAGTATTTGTTCTTACTGAAAGAACATGGGGTGATCCGCCCACAAACATCAATGTGAACTAGTTGTAATGGTCTCGTAGCTATTGCTTGAGACTCTTTTGAGAAGCTCTTTCTTGATTGTTTACCAAGAAGACAACCTTCACAGAGTTGATCAGGTTGATTCATTGAAGGTAAACCTTTCACCATTCTTCTGCTAGCCATAGCTTTAAGTCCTCCAAAGTTCATATGCCCAAATCTCAAATGCCATAGCCATGAAGAATCTTTGCAACAAGATGTTAAGCATTTAGCCACATATGTATGTATGTTCATAGCAAACATATGATTCTTTGACATTGGGACTTTGGCAATCAAGTTTCTTGCACAATCTTTCAAGTACAAACTGCAACCTTTTGTGAATACAACATATCCTTTTTCTAACAATTGGCCCACACTCAAAATATTACTCTTCATGTTTGGTGCATAATAAACATTTGAAATAAACTGAGGATTTCCATCCTTCATGCGTATTAAAATTTTACCTTTACCCCTCACTGGTATTTTGGAGGAGTCTCCAAAGGTGCTTGTGCCGCTAACTTTCTCATCAAGCTTCACCAATACTTCTTTGTTTCCACACATGCGGTTGTTTGCTTCAGTATCAAGGTACCAAGAGTGCTTTTCTTCATTCTTCATTTTTGTGTAGGCCAACCAGAGAGTTGTCTCCACCTCTTCATTAACTTTTTTATCTTCATCTTGAGAGACATTAGCTTTCATGTCATTGTTGCCAAATCTACATTCCGATGAATAATGCCCAAATTTATGACAAATGTAGCACTTAATCTGGGATTTGTCATACCTCTTCTGATATGGCCTTGATCCTCCTCTGCCACAGCCTCTCAAAAAGGTGAACTAAGAATTTTCATCTCTACTTTGGTTAATATTCTCAGCACTTCTTCCTCCTCTTCCAAGTCCTTGACCACGACCGCATCCACGGCCGCGACCTTGTCCTCCTTGACTTGCGCCTCCTTTTTGTTCTTTATCATTCAGAGAAAGTGTTGACTGTAGAACCTGCTCCAAGGATTCTTTCTTTCTTCTGTTGAGCTTTTCCTCATGTGCTTCAAGTGAATCACTTAACTCCTTAACAATCATGTCTTCCAAGTCTTTTGATTCTTCAATGGCCGTTACCACATAATCAAATTTCTCTGTAACTAATCTAAGAATTTTTTCAATAATCTTTAAATCAGTCACCTTTTCATCAAGCCTTCTCACCTGGTTGGCAATCCCCATGACCCTTGAAATATGATCTGACACCTTTTCTGTCTCCTTCATTTGGACAGCTTCAAATTCACCTCTTAAACTTTGGAGGCGAACTTTCTTTGCCTGCTCTTTTCCTTTATAGGCAGCTTGAAGCTTCTCCCACAACTGCTTTGCTGTGGTGGCATTAGAAACCTTCTCGAAGTTAACCTCATCCAATGCTTGGTGAATGAGAGAAACGGCCTTTTGATCCTTTTCTTGATACTATTAAACTGATCTTTTTGTGCTTGTGTAAGAACACTTATGTCTTGAGAAGCTGCATATCCACTCTCAACAATTTCCCACAAATCATGTGCACTGAGTATTGCCTTCATTCGAATGCACCAATTGTCAAACTTTTCTTTTGAGAATTTTGGAACCTATAATGAAATCAGATTCCCACTTGCCATTTGGATATGCTTTGATACCACCTTGTTGGATATAAATGGACTTATGAGGATTTTACAGTGGAAGAGAGGAAGGTTTGGAGACAGTATTTCTCTAAATTGACTTGACTTTCCTTAATTGAAAATGAGAACTTACATCATTATTTATAGGTAAATCATGAACATTGGTTCTTCTCCCTAAATTAACTAGTATACATGAATTATTAAAGATTATTCCTACCAAATACATGAACTGAGTATTAAAGGCGTGTTTATCATCCTTTCAACAGTTCAATGACTTCTGCTTTTGAGTGTATCAAGGATAATCAAGGAATGGCTAGTGAGGAGAGTTACCCTTATGAGTCAACGGATGGAAGTGGAAGAAGTACCTTCCAATGATGAAGAGGCATTATTAAAGGCGGTAAGCCAGCAGCCTGTCTCTGTTGCCATTGAAGGCAGTGGGTATAATTTCAAGAACTATGGTGGTGGAGTTTTCACTGGAGAATGTGGCAATGACCTGGACCATGCTGGTACACTAGTCGGGTATGGGACTACTGAAGATGGTACCAGGTACTGGCTGGTCATGAATCCATGGGGAGAAAGCTGGGGAGAGAATGGGTACATGAAGATTAAGAGAGATGCTGGAGTCTCAGGAGGTCTCTGTGGCCTTGCAATGAAACCGTCCTATCCGGTTGCTTAAGCAGCATCAAGGTTTAAAGAAATTTCTTGAAGTACCCTATAACACAGTGTATTCCTGCTACATTACTAAGCATACTCTGCAATGAAAATGCCAATTTATCCCATAACATAGCGCTTTTCTTCCATATGTAAGCATACCTGGCCAAAAAAATGCCAATACGCATGTTATCCAGCGTGTATTCAATCTAAAATCTATCAGCTTATTAATAAATTGGAATTACTAAGTAAGAAACAACTCCTCTTGAACAAACTTTAAGCAGGC